CTTTTGAGATAAACACATATTCTACTGAATATCATCAAAATCCACTAAGAAATACTTAAAATAATCAGTTTTGTCGTACTAAACTACTACTACTACTACAAAAAGTAAAAATAAAGCTTAATAAAAATCACTATTTGCTGTAAATTTTTTAGTTCGATTTCAGTAATTTTCATTGTCGCTATGATAAATAAAACCAAAATTTGTGAAAAAAGTCGTGTTAGTAATTTTGTGTGCAGGAAATGAAGGTTTTTTGACTTTGTTTTTTAATACCTTCCGTAGCTAAAATGAGGTGGATTCTTAAATATAGTCTCTTGTAATTGACTCACAAACTTGATTAAATATATTCCAGGCTTATATCGAATTATTTCCGTTTTGTCGTATTTGGATCAGTCTATAAAGGGTGATATATAAATTGTGATATATTTAAAAATTAGACAGTCAGACCATTGGGCTTATGCTGACGATTACTCGGTTAAATGTCTGGTACTAATATTAGTTTACTAATATAATCATGATTACGTATAATAATCAATAGGAATAACAGATCGATCCTGTTCATTCGGTTTTCTGTCCGACCGTCTACGATAGCTTATTATCTACAAAAAGTACAGAGCTCCGCCCAGTCAGAAGTAAGATTGGTAATGTCTATAACTTTCCATTAGATAGATACTTGTTTCACGATGTGAACTTATCATTCTGTCAAAAGCATGTAATGATCATATAATATGTCAGCGGTCGGCGTGGACGCAGTTTAATTTATATTAGGGATGTTGCGGATGCGCATTTAGAAACATGAGGGCTTACAACCACTTATGGAAACTACCACCACCACCAGCCCTTTTACGTCCCCACTGCAGGGGCTCAGGCCTTCCTTATGGATGGTTAAGGAGGATGGGCCATGACCCTCCACGCTGGCCCAATGCGGATTGGAGGGTATTATCGACTGCAAATGCAGCCGGGACCAACGGCTTAACGTGCCTTCCGAAGCACGGAGTAGCTCGAGATAATAATTTTTTGGTCACCCATCCCGTGACCGACCCTTGCGAAAGTTGCTTAACAACTACGATCGCGGGCCGCGGCGCTTATCCACTACGCCACCGAGCTACTCATGGAAACAAATGCGGAAAAAGATTGTTTTCAATTTGAATAGGTGCAGGAATAAGAAATATTTATCTTTTAGAAATCGGTTCGTTTCCGTTCCGTTTTGTATCCACATAATCCCTAAACTTTTGTTTGTTTGTCCGTTTGGTAGATTGTTGAAAAATATTAAACACGTATTTTTTTCGTAATCATTAAATTACATCGAGTTAAAATGTCACATGACGTCACGCTTTGGTACATTTTCTACAAAACTGTGACGTAGCGAGCTCCTACTTCTCAACTATAATGCCTGTTATCTAAGCTATTTCTTGTTAAATTGAAGGAAAAAAAAATACGCCTCTAATATTTTTTTATTATCTGACCGACGGACTAAATAGAATTTCTTTTTTTTTACTCAGTCGCCATCCCATTTATGAAGCTATTAAGAATCCGTTACGTGCGTAGTAACGGTGCAGGCCAGCAGGCCAATTCGCTAATCTTTAAGTAATAATCGCATCTCAATAGAATCTCAACTAGGTACTTGCATTTTCCCATTGTAAGTGCAATATCTTCCTCAGATTAATGGTGACATATATAATAATATTGAACTTCGGGTAGATATTACGAGGGTCAAACTGAAAGTTCTTAGAACAGGCCACTTATAAACAATTTAATAAAAAAATAATTCTAAAATTTGAAAATATAACTCTTTGCCAATATTACTGAGTATATATTTCATTCATTTGTCATTTGTTTTACGATTTGGCGGCAAATTGAAAATTGTCTGTGTCACGTCATCATGAATTTAACACGAGAAAATTTTCGTGCAATGATTTTTTATGACTTTCGATGTCATTTAAGTCAACAAGAAAGTTATGATAGACTACGATTGGCCTTTCACGATGAAGCCCCATCTCGTGCGACTGTTTACAACTGGTTTAATGAGTTTAAACGTGGTCGCACTAATCTCACTGATGATTTACGTGAGGGACGGCCTTCTACGGCGACGACTGAAGATAACATCTGTGTTGTGCGGCGTATGATAGAGACTGACAAAAGAGTGACCTATCAACAGATTCGGACAAGCTTAGGCATCGGTATGAGTCAAGTGCACAAAATCCTCCACGAACATTTAGCGGTCAGGAAGCTTTGCGCCCGGTGGATACCTCATAATTTGACTGAGGCTCAAAAACTCCATCGTGTGGATTGGTGTCGTAAAATGATTGAAAGATTTAACGGAGGTGACTCAAATGCTGTGTTCGACATACTAACAGGTGACGAAAGCTGGATTTACTGTTATGATCCTAAAACCAAAAGACAATCTGCTCAGTGGGTGTTTCCTTTCGAGGAGTTGCCAACTAAAGTGAAGAGAGATCGAAGTGCGGGAAAAAAAATGGTGGCCTCGTTCTTTGGAAGGATAGGTCATTTTGCAACAATTGTGTTAGAGGATCAAAAAACAGTTTCTGCAGAATGGTACACTACCAATTGTTTGCCACTTGTCTTGGAAAAAGTTCGAGAGAAACGACCTCGCAGTAGGATCCTCCTTCACCACGACAACGCCTCGTCGCACACCGCCAAGCGAACGATCGACTATTTGGCGACATCAAACGTTGAATTACTGGGTCACCCGCCGTATAGCCCCGACCTCGCGCCTTGTGATTTTTATTTATTTCCAAAAATTAAAGAAAAACTTAAAGGAAAGCGGTTTATGAATGCTGAAGAAGCGGTGGCTGCGTATCGCGATGCCATTGAAGAGACCCCTAAGGACGAGTGGGCAAAGTGCTTTTCCCAGTGGTTCCATCGCATGCAGCGGTGTATTGACGTGAATGGACAATATTTTGAAAAGATATAATAAAACTAATAACTGGCTAATGTAATCAGTTTTTGATTTTCTAAGAACTTTCAGTTTGACCCTCGTACAATGGCAAAATGTAATTAGTTAAGATTCTATTGAGATGCAGTTATTACGTAAAACATTATCACAATTAGCCCGATGTGCACATTCACACTAAAATAGAACGGTATTTTAGCAATCTGTCATTAGTTTACATTGATTTTGTTCCCTTGCAGTGATCGTCGGTCCATTAATTCGGAATTGGCAAGTGAACGACTATATTCAGAAGCATATCACGCCCACGCTCCTTCCCGCACTCACGGCGGTTGCTCACGAGCGTCCAGCGGAGCCAATACTCTGGCTAGCGGAGTATTTGAGGCGGCACAATCCCAATGAACCAGAGTTAGCGCCTCAACCGACCGAACAGAGGGAAGACCATCGATGTCATACTCCTCAACCCTCGCAAGAATCGCTAGTCAATTAGTATATTTTCCTGTGTTGTTCATTTTGACGATTATCATAACATACTAAGGTGCGAGAAAGTTACAACACTGTATTAATATTATTAATCTATACTATAATAAAACAGTGAAAATAGTGTCTGTTGTTATTTACATTAAATAAAGTTCATAAAAAATTATTCAGGGCGATACTAAAACACCACCAGAATACAGCTCTATAATTAAAAAAAAGTCTGTCTGTTTGTATGTGCCAATCTCTAAAACTAATGAGGGGATTTTAATAACTCTTTTTATTTCGAAGTCCTGGGCACTGTATAGGCTACAATTCATTTCAATGGCTGGTCTCCATCATATGGAATCCTTAGACGGACGAAACAGTAAGATATACAGAAATGGAGCATGACATAGTAAAAACTGTTCCACCTGATAAGTATATTTTGCTGCGTTATTAAAATTTGAAGATACAAAACATCTGATGTGGAACTCCACTGCATATACGGATACGATGTATTCACAGAAGTTGTCCAAAGTAATGAGTATTTTCTGATGACTTGTAAAAATCGAAGATCTGAAATATGTGAAGTGGAACTAAAAGAGACCACTAACATTATAACATAATTATACAGTACTGGTCTTAGCTTTAAGTTCTTTAGTTTGATGAGTATTTTCAATAACGATTAAAATTCGAAGATTTGAAACGTCTGATGTGGATTTTGGATGAGCGAAATCTTTCAGTTTGATGACCATTTACTGATGACTTTAACGCCTGCCTGCTGACTTCAATAAAAATATAAAAAATCTATAATATAAATAAAAATAGTCAACATAGTGAGAAAATATTTCATTTATTTGTTCGACATATTTTTTTTCAATAATTCTATGCTCATATTATAAAGAGAAAAGATTTGATCGTTTGTTTGTTTACATTGGATAGGCTCTGAAACTATTGGACCGATTTATAAGTCTCATCTACGGGAAGTACATTATACACGTTGTTACATTATACAGGTTGGACATATGTAGGCTATGATTTACGAAAGCGAAGTCGCGGAGAAACGGCTAGTTTGATAGAAATAGGTTCACAATTCAAGAAGATTGACATACCTACTTTCATAGAAAAATATATATACTCTTTGAACATGGAAAATCCTTCTTCGAATGAATGAATTCAAAATACGCATTCTTTTGTTTTATAGCCTAAATACATTACATATTATTTAAATATGTAGTCGATATATGTATGGCGAAAAAATATTTTGTTATAAAAGGAAAACTACTGATTCGATATCGATAAAGTTGTCAGCCAGTTCCATTCTTTATTGCATTGACATTCAAGTTAATTTTCGGCTATATCTAAAAGGGAGTAAGATCTTTAGCTTGAAAGATTTAACCCGCTCAATCTAACACTGTAAGTGAAAACTTGTAAGAATCCCTCTACATCATGTGTCTCAAAGTGAAAGTCTTTGACCAGTGTGTTGCCAGTGATGATGAAGGCTTAAAGACACCCAGCGGGCAATAGAGATTTAATACGAAACGATGATATCCGTAGGAGAACTAACGTTATATTGCTCAGCCGTTTAATAAGAGTTCTTATATGATTAATATAAATAAAACCCAAAAAATATATTTGAAAACTTTATTTTATAGAAACAGTTTACAAATGACTTATCACAGGCTAGCGAACGTTAACTATTCCATTAGTATTAAAACTGTTAACTACAATGATCTGTGGCTAATTATTTATTAACATTAGATTGTTTTAAATGAGCAAAATATTATAGTGACAAAGGAAACGCATTATAGTGACTACTCGCCATAAATGTAAGTACAAATAAGCACAATTTTTGTAATAGTTAAACAATACAAAAACATAATACATGACGCGAAATAGTCTCAATAATTTCTGTCTTAAGACAACAACTTAATCCTAAACTGATTTGGTTAAAAATCAAGACTTACGTGTTATAATAGTAAAAGGAGATTACTTAAATATCGGATAAAATCTTGAAAAGTCGCTGCGTTTACGGCAAAGCCTGAAACAATACGTTAGCGGTGAAAATTTACATTTATTGAGTCATTAACATTTAATATTAAACTTATGTTGTTTTGAGCTGCAGATAGGTAAAAATGTTGCTATTTAAACTAAAAAAATGTGTTAATCAATATGTACGAAGGATTGACGTCACAATATGGCGTACAAGATGATTGTTTAGGCGCCAAATTGAAACTGAAAATTTAAAGAACGAATTTTTTGGTCTTATATCGTATAATTTGGTAAACATATGATTTTTTGATGTACAGTATAAGTATTTTTTCAATGTAAAAAAAGATCCAACTACTACTGGCAGCACTAAATGTCAATTTCATTACGGGCATCCTAGCTCTCATTGTCACTTAAATGTTGGATTAGTTTCGCGCTAATATACTTCATTGGGTTTCTTTGGGTACGGCTATTGGAATTGACATTGTGATTTAAGATATATCAACAGGTTTTTAAAAGTATAATAGAATTTTTTAATAATCACATAATTTACCAAATTGGTGAAATAAAAATAAAATCCTAAAACATCATTTCAATTGTAATCTGTTGTTTATTGATGACGCTGATGTTACATATCGATGTAAAATTTTTGTAAATCAGACAGGTAGCGTGGCGTTTGAATATTTTGAAGTTACCGCATCTTTTTCATAATTATTTTCAAGACGAAAACAAACTTATGTTGAAAAATATTTATTCTAAAGCAATAATGATGCCCTATTGGTTTAACACAATGGAACACATTGTCATACTCGCGCGTCAGTGGCCGCGGTCGCGCATGCGCAGTACGGCGGCGCCGGGTGCGCAGAGGCCGATCTTCTGGCACACGCCCTTAGTGCCCAGTTCCTCCACCAGGTGGATCACGCTGTCACCATATATCTCCATCAACGTGTGACACTGTACGAAAATATACCATATTAGATTATCATTTACTATAAGTACGGCCAACGAGAAGCGATACCAAATGTAAACAAAACCAATGCAATGTCATTAGGTAATGCAGGGGTGCGTAACTTTTTGAAAACTATGTAATTTATTAGCAGACAATAATATTTCATAGTAAATGGCATCGAGTTACTTTATGTAATTGTTATTCTAAAAATCTATCAATAAAAATACAATGTGTTGAAATTTGAATAACAATACTCGAAGCGATAGGAATGGCAGGGAGGTATCTCAAGTCTGTTGAGTTTACTTATAGCTTAGGTCCTGTAATTTTTTATTAATTATAGTTTGATTTATTTTATTAATGTAGTTATCAAGAATGAGATTTAATGTCGATAATAATATTTATGGCAGTGAGGCCAAAAATGAAAATGAAAGAAAAACTATTATTTAAAATGGTCGCCTGAATGTTGGCGAACCCGTTTTGACCTTGACACATTTTTGCCGGGAGAATAAGACATTGCGACAAATACACAAGATAAAAAGAGATAGAAAATAGATAGTCAATACCACAGTCGTTTATCGGGTTAATGACCTTTCGTATCGCTGCTAGTTGGCTGTCCTTTAGCATTCCGCCAGAGGCTTCGCCCAGATGGAACATATTATTATTCTCTGTTGTATGTTAAAAATAAAGTATTGCGCTTGTAAAGGTATTGTTGTTTATGATAAGAAGAATTTTGGTTTCTCACCATAAGACAGTCTGATATGTTATTTCATCGTACAAAACTCACCCTTGCGTTATATTTGGCGGGCAAAAGTCCACAGGATTTCTCAATGACGTGCACGATATTGTGGTCCACTTTATCGTTGCTCAATACTTTTTTTACAGCCATCACAACCGTCTCGCAAACAGCGCAGTCCAATATTTGTTCTGTGAAACATTCGTCAACATTAAGCACTGCCTAAAGTTATGGCATGCATTATGCAGCGAATTGCGCTAGGTATTTGCGTAATATGACAGGTCACAAATGTGTAAAGGTGTAAAAGAAAAAATGTTTGGGATTAAAACTAATCTGCTTAGGGTGATTTGTAAAATTAGGCTTTGCTTTGTTCTAGCTTATTCGACTTTCACAAGTGCTTGTAACAGCCTAGACTGAATAAATCATTAAGATTTTTTGATTTAGTGAAAACGGATGCCAGTGACTTTTGCGCCATCGTATTTTTTTAAAGTGTAAATTTTAAATAGCAATTTTACATAACAATGCAAGCTGCATACTTTGCCATCGTCTACATTTGGTTTCGTTTGACGTAAAATATTTGAAACTTTCATATAATCATATCCAATTACTATCAGATTTTATTTTTCTCTAAAGCAAGGAAAGTAAATTTTTATTTATTATTGAAATTGTCCCGTGAAAACAATCAATCTCGTGACATTTTGAACAGTGACGTCACATTTCAATAAACATGAGACTTGAATTATGCTAATTATTACGTATTAATCGCATCTCAATAGAGTCACGATTACTTGCATTTGGCCATTATATTATCTACCTACCTAATGTCCAATATAATTCAATCTCTTCCTCACAAATCAATGATGACTGATATGTTTATTGTTTTGAGATTTTGTAGGATCAAGAACTGTGTCATAAATACTTGTAGTTGAAGCGCTATTGACTTACTGTAGTTAAGCTAAAATTAACAGAATTACTCTATTGAGTGCTTAGTGTAAGATATTTTGACGTTTACGTTCACGGACGATCGTGAGCGTGTTAAAATTTTAGTATGAAATCCTGTACAGCGCCCCTAGCGGTATAAACTACAAATCTCCATACAAATTCTAAATGTGCTCACTAGTGAAAACGTTAACGAAAACTTACACTTACAAATAGGTTAATTTAATGAAATGTGACGTCTCACGATGTATAGCCAAAACTGGATTAATTGGCATAAATGGTATTACCTCTAGCGTCCTGGTAGGCTGTTTGTCCCTTCGAATCACACAATTTGAGTTCCTCGCACACTTCTTCGGGCTCCAACTCTTGTTCTAAAAGACTAATCACCAGATCAGAGTACTTTTCTACGAACTGATCGCAGTCAGCGCGGACCGCTTTGGGCATGCGTTTGCATACACTGTGTACAATCTGCTTAATTTCATCCTGTTAAATATTATTTATTTAATTAATCCTAATACACAATTGTCCAAAGGCAGATTTAATGCCTTGGGCATACTCCGCAGCAGTAAATCTTTGGGTGTATATTGGTAAGATAGCTCGATGGCGTAGTGGATAATTGCTGCGGCCCGCGATCGTTGTTGTTAAGCAACTTTCGCGTCGGTCAGTCACGGGATGGGTGATCAAAAAACTGTTATTTCGAGCTTTCGAGTGCTTCGAAAGGCACGTTAAGCCGTTGGTCCCGGCTGCATTTGCAGTCGGTAATGCCCTCCAATTGGTATTGGACCAGCATCCTCCTTAACTACACACAATGTAGGCCTGAGCCCCTGCAATGGGAACGTAAATGGGCTGATGATGATGATGTATTTTATCATATTATTTATAATCATCATTAGTCTATCTACTTTTGCCAATTACACGTAATGTTAAGGGTATGCGAGTTTTAAAAATTATATTATTTTATTAATTATCATATAAGACGCTATAAAATTGTTTGAATGTATTTCTTCATATTGATTTTAGTCAATTTAGAAAAAGGCAGGGGGGTACACATGCAGTTCTAGGTGATTGATTTTTTTTTCTTTTTGGTGAAATATTTTACTACAGGTTTTTGTTTAGTATATGTCTTTTGTTATCTATGTCTTAGTAATAATTGTCCATCTAGACGATGCTGGCTCTAGAAAGTGATAACAATACAATACAAGGACCACGTTAAATTACAAAGTACCTCAAAAGATAATCACGCGATTCTGAGACTCAAAATCAGAATCTCTACGTTTATTATGATGTAAATTTTAGTACATTTTCACTATCGAACTACTCTATTGAAAAAAATAAAAAAAAAATAAAAAAATAATAGTTTTGCAGTTATGAAACATATTTTGATGTTTCGCGGACTAAGACATCACACGTTTCGATTTCTCTTAATATATTATATTTTGCGATGATAATAAAGTGCAATTGTGTAAACCTGATTGTGTTTGTCTTTGATTTGGTCGTCGATCTCCTTCATAACGAACTCGCAGAGAACGCAAACGGTCTTCTGTGATACTTGCGGCTTCACTGCGTGCCCGTTCACAGTGTCGTCAGGTATCTCGTTTGTTTCTAGTAATATTATTAATTAATTATTAATAATAATAACCGTGGAATCTATACAAAGACTACTCCTTATATAGATATCATAAAACTGACGAGTATGGTAACATTACATTGTATAAAATTACCATAACAAAACTTTGCATACAGCTACATTGGATTTGAGCAATGCATGTGTGTTACTCTACCTATGTGCCAATAACACAAAGAAATTTTACACTGTTGGATGATGAATTTGGACGAAGCTTTATGAGTCTTATTTCGTAGTTGTGATGTGACTGTTCCAAAAAAATATTTTATAATCGCTATGTAATCATCAGTGGTCGGAATTAGGTAGAGTTATTCATGTACTTACACTGATTTCATACAGCGAAAGAATAAAGTGGATATGCCTCAAATCCCGAGATTAATTTTAAAGAGCAGATAAAAACCCGGTATTTTTTAAATAAAAAGTTATTTACTTTTACACAATTTAAACTACTGCACGCACGACGTTGCCAAACTTACATCAATGAAAGAAAGAAATAAAGATATAAAGAAATCCCGCGAAGGTCCACATTAATATCAACATTTCGATGCAAGTACTTAAATAACTCTACCTAATTCCGACCTCTGGTAATCATACATGTCAAAGTTAATTATATCAACAACAAAAAATACCTTTCGTTGAAGATCAACTACAAAATAATACAAAAGCAATATTTATGTATTGCAAAAGAAATTTTCGCACTCACCGATATCGCCGCCATTTTCCAACATATGAGTAGGCAACATTGATCTATGCTTGAAATTATTCCTGTCACCTCTTAGCGCCGGTTTCTCGTGGTATTTGTCGATTCCCGAAGCTGTTGTTACCTTCATTGGATCAGTGCCATCACCGGCACATAGTTTAAGGTAAACGCAGACTTCTTGAGCGTTGAGGTTTGCTACCAGCATCTCGACTAATTGCTCAGTATATGTGTCCACAAAATCGACGCATTCATTCTTCATTTTACCAGATAAATGGGTGCAGAGGTTGCCAAGAGCGTGGCGGATACTTGTCTAAAATATTTTCAAATAAAATTACATATTATTTTAGTGTAGTAGTGTAATAGTGACTTCTTTCAAATAATGCGTTATCAAAATATGACCTTTTCATAGTAAGTTACACTATATCCTCCACATACATCTGTATGTTGTCACATAGCATATTAGGTTATAAATTTTATACCCCAATGATGGACATAGAAATCAAAATTGATTACAGTTTATCTATTTTAGTGTAACTATTTTATACTGCAGTGCGTTTACATTTAAAGTTAAATTAAAAAATAAACTACCAATGTTGTAGAATTTCTTTCTAGTTGGTATACATTACCTCAGTACGATTATCTTTGAGCATGGTGACGAGTTGTTCAACAGCGAATAAACACAGGGCACAGTTAGATTTGCCCGAGTTGATGGCGACATGACGGACTTCAGTCACTTGAGGGCACAATCCCAGGGCAGGGCAAATCTGTCACACAAAAATGTATCTAATTCCAAAGTGTTAAGTAGGTAATCACTTTGCGATAATGAGTAATAATATAAGAATTGGTTACTTGGCAGTCAATAAATTATGAAATATGATGAAAGTGGTATCTTATATGTAAACAATAATCATGAAGAGTTTTTAAATAAATTGTATATTTTGTATTCCCATAATATTATCATTTGTGTATTACAAGAACTGAAATGCGAGTGACCATGACGGAGTATAATGTGACGTCATATTTCAATAAACTAAACGTCAACGTTTTTGTTGCTAGTGCAATCAGTAAACAGGTTTTTTTTTATTAACTTGTGATAACAACAACCATTCCGACATAAAAAAAACATAAAATTGCATGTTCATTAAAACTATTTTCACAAGAGAATTAATATGTTTTCCTTTAATTAATCTTTTTATGAATAAAAATAAATATAGTAGTGGTTTAAAATGGTCATATCAGTTTTTCCCAATACCTATGTATATACTTTTCCCAAAATAGTCAAGTAGCCAATTGAATAAAAATTTTGAATTTATTGATTGATTACAAACAAAAAATTAAACAATTCTTCTTTATAATATTAGTATTGAAGTATAGTATAACTCACGCTAGCTGGGTCAATTTCTTGAACTAGTAGGGCTATGACTGCCGGTCCGTACTGGTCAACGAACTGATGACATTCACCGTTGATGGAATTCGGTAGACGATCGCATGCCTTCTCCACTGCATCCCTTATCGCATCCTACAATAGATACACATACAGGTGTAACATAAGAACGGTCAGCATAGGAAAGTCTGGAACTAAGACACTTACGAAGATCTGTTCTTAGGAACCATGCCATCGATTCTAGTGAAAATAAAAATGCATTTATAAAAAAAAACTAGTTCTCAGTTCATTTGGAAAGTCGTATGTTTGAAAAATAACACTTCTATTTACATACCGCTTACTAACTAGCTAGCTTACTGTTTCAAACCTACACAAGCGGTATGTTAATATGAAATATCTTTAAATGAATAAAATGCATTTTTTATATCCTTTAATTTACTTTAACAGGTGTTGACAACCAAGTAAAACCTATATACACACAGAGTAACGGGCTATTTATATTAAACGACATTTTTTGAATTCCACAGAAGTGTTTGTAATATAAACCGAAAAAATAATTTAATTTTAATATAGTCAATACCATATCAGGTAAATCTGTAAAATCTCCACAATTTTTTAGTTTTGAAATCTGAGGCTACAAAGAGATTTTAAGCGACGGTAGCGATAGCTTGCCTCGTGTAATAGATTGCAAGCACAATGGTACGTAGATAATTAATAATAATTTCAACAAAGAAAAAGAACAAAATACAAGACAGGCAGCAGAGACAATAATTGACAAAAGACAAAAAATTCAAAAAATATCGATATATTTTTAGATTTTTTCCCTGACGTTGATACATATGAAACATTGACATTATAGGACTTCATTAAACAGAGCAGTGGAGCCCTTTCTCCTGATGTGGTTTTACATTGGTTAGTTTTGAACAAATTTTCATGAAGAAATTTATTAACAGAGTACAAAAAATGGAGGTACTCAGTTTGAACTGTATGTATGTATATGTTTGCGGGCGATTATGTCGCGTTTGGCTGAACCGAATTTGATGCGGTTTTCAGCATAGTATTTGTCAGAATAAGTAGTTTAAGTATATTCACCGACAAAAAAAATGGAGGTTGGCACTTTAACACGGTCTTCAGAACAGTATTTTTTAGTGTTAATTAATAACCTACAGAAAACCTCCGCCCGGTTTTAGTGCCATTTTCTTGAATAAATCGCTTTTGAGATAAGTAATGTTTTTGACTTTTTTTAGGTTTTAAAGGATAGATAAAAACCTCAGTTTTGGTATCGCTGAGCTCCACTTGCAGATAGTGCAGGAAATATTGACAGAAGGCGCAGCCGGCCTTGTTCTCTGGTAACCTGACGAACATTCGGTCGATGGTGAGCGGCGGCAGAGGTTCGGATTCATCACCCATAATGCGAACATTTGTCTGAAAATAAGATATAAAGAATAGCTTTAGCAGATTTGTTGTTTCAACAAACCTGTAACATTAGGTAATGCCTTACCAAGCAATACTAATAAATAATAAATAGGCAATGTTTGTCTATGTTTTGCATACTTAATTTCTTCTTCTATTTTTAATGTATGGCGTATTTGCGTTTACACAATTCCGCCATGTCACGTTAGTGGCATTTACATGTAAAAAGACAATTACAAAATTATACCATATTTATTAAAACAAGAAAAATTATACATGGTCTTTTATTTACACGAGTACCCAAGTCGTCGTTGTTCATATAAAAATCTCATAGTTCATATCATATTATCCTTTGACACATCCGTTATGGCCAAAGAGTAATTGTATATGTCACATTATGCAATTGCGAGGCGCTGCACAATGCATGTCCTAATTTTAAGCGTGGCTTAAAGTCGTTAGGTGGTTCCTTGTCATTTGTGAAACGCATTTTCACTTTAGATAATGCCCAAATATTTAGTTGTCAGATTTGGGCGACTCCCAAGTTAAGTGAAAACGGGCATTACAATCTCATTCCTTCTGAAGTCATCTTAAATATAGTTTTTTTTTTTTATATATATATTATTATTTTAAATATAAACTTACCTTTTTAGTATAGCTCTTAGCTTCATCAGTACCGATTAGTTCAGATTTCTTTGAGCTATCCTTCATAGTGACAGCTTTGACGACTAGTTCTTTCGGTAGTAAAGGTGCTATTGGACTGTCGGTAATGTTTTTCCCGCACAAGCCCATCATGTTACATATCATTTCCGGCTGCAAATCCGCCACGAGGTATTTATAGATTATAGGGTAGTATTGATCCGCTAGATGGAGGCACTCATCTTTGAACTCCCCGGTTTGCTTGCAGAGACCTACAAATATGTAATTTTGAAATTGAAAAGGATGTATTTACAACGATTTCAAGAGTAAAATGTTTGAGTTGGTCTTACAGCTTTAATTGTTACTTTCTTTATCCTATGTATGAAAAATATCAAATGTCTTTTATCGTATGACAGGTTTCCTAGTTGAAGCACCTAATTAGTGGGAATTATTTCATAATTATATTTAGTACGTGACGCGTGTCACGGTGTACATTTTTAGAGATAGATTTATGATATCGAGATGGACAATAGGGGTGTAGATAGCTGTTATTATATAGTTTTATTTTATAGATATAAATGACATATATCTAATATATATATACATAAGTATCTTTCACTTCATCTAATAAGATCATATCTTTCTGCTAGAATTCAAAAAGTAGTAATCAATGAAGCGAAATCTGCAGGGGCACCAGTTACTATGGGCGTACCTCAGGGATCGATATTAGGACCATTGCTTTTTCTAATTTATATTAATGATCTTCCTCACTTTACGAAGAATTTGTGCGAGACAGTATTATTTGCAGATGACACCTCTTTACTGTTTAAAGTCGAGAGGGGTAATGATTGTTTTGACGATGTAAATAATGCTCTCGACAATGTTCTACAGTGGTTTGATAATAATAATTTAAAGCTCAATTCAAATTAAACGAAATGCATAAAGTTTGCATTACCTAATGTGAGGCATGTCAGTACACTTATAAATGTAAATAGTGAAAAAGTTGAGTTAGTAGAATCGACAAAGTTCCTTGGTATTACACTAGATTCCCGACTGCAATGGGATCCTCATATTGATAGCTTGTCAAGTAGACTGAGTTCTGCAGCTTTTGCTGTTAAGAAAATTAGACTCTTGACAAATGTTGAAACGGCAAGATTGGTATATTTTAGTTATTTGCATAGTGTAATGACGTATGGTATATTGTTATGGGGTTCTGCGGCTAGCATTCAGGATATTTTTATTTTACAAAAGAGAGCTGTCCGTGCTATATATAATTTACGGTCTAGGGAATCTCTCAGAGAAATATTTAAAGAAATAAATATTCTGACTGTTGCCTCTCAATACATCTATGAGAATATTATGTACACAAGAAAACATTACGATTCCTTCACAAAAAAAAGTAGTGTTCATAATCTTAACACAAGAAATAAAGATAAACTTGCCGTTCCAAGCTTCAGACTTCAAAAAACCAGAGGATCATTTCTGGGTAAATGTATTGCTATGTTCAATAAGTTTCACAAAATGTAATTGACCTACCCATAAATAAATTTCAAATTCATGTAAAGAATATACTTATGAGTAAAGGCTATTATAAAGTTGATGATTATTTTAAGGATCGCAATGCATGGAATTAATAGCCTTCGCTTTATTCTAATTATATGTTCAACCTATGTCCTACAGACTTTGAAAGTTGTATTTACTATCGTGATAATACATATTATTTGGTAATGACATGATTTATGTAAATGTCATTTCATAACTTATAATAAAAAGCTGGTAAGTTTCTTTCGCTTGTTCTTCTTGTCAGCTAAAAGACGTCCTGAACAAGTGGTAGGGGAAAAAAGTTTTTTGGACGATTCAAAAGTGCTTGTAATAGCCTACTTGAATAAAGATATTTTCATTTCATTTCATATAACAAGTTAAAAACTAAAAATGAATTCATCATGATTACCCGCGAAAACGCCAACTTCTGTCATAGCGTTACTATGACGTCACGCCTTTCTTAAACTAATATCGCTCTATAAGTGCATAAGGTTTAATTATCTATGTTCTGATAAAAATAAGAGGGCGTGACGTCACGCGCTGTTAGCGTTCACGTGACAACAAGTATAAGATATTTGAATTTTCATAATTAATTTAAGCAATATGATAAATATAATAAGCATAAAAGTGTGATTATCGGTAATAGTATATTAAACAGTATCAGGAAAAATAATAATATGCATTTATTTTCGTCTACTGTCTACAGCCGTATTAGTTTTATAAAAAATACAAATGTATTATTAAATTAATTTTGACCCATCTCTAAAAACATCCAGGCTACCAAATAACACCTCCGATAATAAGGTCTAGACTCTAGTTACCAGTTACATGCATTTCCACAACACGCGAAAGCTAATGCGTGCTACACTAATTATAAATCTGCACGGCGACACGCAGCCTGTCTAAATATAATTCCAACTCAAGAAACCATCACCACAACTTCTGATATATTACAACATTTGTAAATTGAACTGCATAGACAACAATATAAATATATACAAGATACCTTTGAGAACTTTGTAGAATTCAAGTTCAGTGGTGTTAGCGACGAGGGTATCGCGCATGTGTTTGATTAGTTGCTCGCAAAACTCGCATGGTACGTCACTGGAACGAAATGAAAAGAGTTTTTTTTTTCTTTTCTTAATATGGCAGGCACATGAAAAGAGTTATAAATGGTGTTTGTTTAATAAGGCAAAGAGAACTAGGCTATATTGTTGTGTCTGTCGTATTTTTTACTTGTTTTCATTATAAATCGGTAAGATGTTTCAATACTTTTTATCGGGTTTAAAGACGATCGAAGGGTGCAAAAACTCTACAAGAAAGGTAACCCAATATGTATGTATAATGAGCCTTATTCATATAGCTATAGGGTATACAATAACACATCAACATACTTTAATCAATCTGATCGCAATTTAACCTTATTCAATGCACAGATACATAGGTATATTAGTTATACCCAATAAAGTTATGCAATGAAACTTACTCTTTGGCTTTATCTTGTAACGCCCACTCGGGGAAATCGAAGTTATCGTGCATATGGTATTTGTATGTACACTGTCCGCTGAGATGACAGACGCTTTGCGGCGTCAAATCTTTACGGAGAGCGGCCAGAATGTTCTCGTAATACTTGAACACTAGCATGGAACACGAGTCAGAGAATGAGGATAATTTGCCGCACACCTGTCGACAGTGAAAGGACATGTTAAATTTTCACAAACGGTTTTGAACTCAACTGACAACGTGTTAAGGTTTAATATGATGTGAAGAAAGTTGTGTCACGTCGATTTATTTAGTTTCAAACTTAGTATTCAAACTTACTTATTTCTTACGATATAAGAAATAAGTCAATGTTAATTTTATTATATGTATTAAAAACGCAAAATCCTTGATTTACATTCAATAGCGTACCCACGAATCTTGTCTAAAACTATATAAAAAAATTATGATTTTGAAACATTAAGTTTTAGTTTGGTTTATAAAAAAGCTTGCGGCAAGTTGACAGTTGATGGACGCTGATAATAATTATGTATTTCCGAGGGTAAATTAAAACCGACACTTATTCATTTACAAAGTATTATATTTTAATTTGATTAATTCAGTACTTACTTGCAACAGACTAACTAGGAAATCTTCGTACGAGCTAGCATCAAACTTCTTTCTGGCAACGCCTACAGTCTGTCGGCAACTACTGCAGCTAACTACCTTCGATAATTGCGCTCCCTGGATGTTAACAAAGATAGGGCATTTATTATTATTTTTAGTGAAATTTACGCTTAATGTGTTTAGTCAAGAAAAATAACTCCCCTAATACCAATGTTAAACTCGAATAAGCGTCTTTTCGCTTATCAGACGAGTGCTCTTAGAATAGAGTAGTAGCTTTAGTGAAACATAAGCCACGAATTTTCAGAAAATTAACAAAAATTTACGTTGGAATGTACATAGATACTTTGATTATGAGTCATAAAATCGTATGGCTATTTTAAAATTATATGTAAGAGTTTTTTCGTCTGTATATCACGTGACTAGAAACACTAGCCGTCATTGTGTGATGTCACTTAGGTTATTTATCACGTCACGTTTTTAAGTTATTTATTACACGAATTTTATGATTTTTGACCGCTCACCCTCCCCATCACAGTTTATTCATACAACTATAACTGTCTCTGGAACAAACTCTAGCCAATGTCAGTGCTATTAAAATTGCAATTTTAGTATTAATTAGTCTTAATTCAAATTATACAGAGAATAAGCAAACCTACTTCTAATTTATTAATCCCGTAGAACCTCGTGCTAGGTTAATCTTTGGTAAGTTTAATAATATGAACTTCGATTAATAATAAGTGGTCTCAGCGTAAATATACTTCAACGCTAAACCTTGTTAATTAATTACATTGTAGAGGTCAAAAATAATATCGATTGTGAAATTAGTTGGGATACCTTTAAAATAAATGATAGGGTATTTACATATTTTCTCTCAATAAAAACAATTTGATAGTAGACTTCTAGATTCAGATCACCCGGTCGAAGAGGGAGTCAAAGGACCATCTAAACTTTTTCATAAATTAATTCATCACATAGATTTAATTTCTCTATCATTGCATCGCTAATTATCAAACAATCAACAATTTGTAAGAGTAATATATATCACTCATACTGACAGTTATAAATGTCAGTTTACTAACTCTAATTAATTGTGTTTCATAAGAAGCAGAAGATAAGTAACTTTTGTAAAGGTCGGTCATAGGAAGGGTGACTAAAAAAATATTGTATCAAACTCTTCCGTGTTAAGTTGTTGGCCCCGGCTGTACCTGCAACAATCTGCATTGACACCCCCCCCCCCCCCCCCCCGGCCCGTATTCAATTTCACTTGTGCCTTAGCAGCAAGGACTCTAATAGGCAGATAATGCTGATGATAATATAATGATAATAATGTAACTCACATAAGCGTCAAGTAGTTGATCGATCCTCGCATTATTACAGAGTCCAGCTACAGAGCAAACAGCTTGCGGATTCATCTGTGAAGCGAGCGTCTCCACCAGCTCGGGCACGAAGTCATCAGCTAGTTTGATGCACTCTTTTTTCACCACCTTGATCGGTATCAACTTGCACGACCCCTCGAATACTTCTTTGAGTTCCTCCTGTGTTGATCAAAATTTGTATTTAATGGAGACAATTCTTTTTACACAAGTCAGGCCTGGATCTATGCGGGGCAAGAGGAGCCAATAACCCCAGGCGGCAAAATGTTACAAATTTTATATAATACTTATTTACAGTTAAGAAAAGAACGAGCTATACAAATATCTTTATACGCATTATAGTTTATGTACGTTTGTGATGGAAGTATGATAATATAAAATACGGCTTCACGAAGCGTGGGAGAAGGGATAGGGTAGTGGAAAGGACGCCGAACGAAGTTAAAAAAATCAAACTTCGGTTGTAAAAATCAAAACGGAGTCAGTCGCCTTCATTGTATTGTCAATTTGGTGTGAATGCAAGGAGGATTAGGTATAGAAATACATTTTAGTTTGAACGCAGCCTTTTCAATTGAGGTTTTCTTAGTATGTAGGAGCATTAACCATATTTCTAAAACTACATGTGACTACGAATGACGTAAGCTTAAACCCATGGTATATTATGTTGTTATTTAATATTTATAAAATTCGTGTTTTCCCGCTTGAAATCAAGTATATTTTAGTTATCCAACCTGGGTTTCGTTGCTCTCCAATTGATCACGAGCCTGCTTCACCATATCGGTGCAAATCTGGCAGATGTTGTCATTATCTTGAGGGAAGTCCATCTTAGACCATACTCGTTCCACGCAATGCTTCGTCGCTGAGCATTCTCGACCAGTACTGGTTAAAGAGAACGAATTTTCAAACGTTTTTACACAGTACATCTAAAACTGCAGAATGAAATATAAAAAGAGTTGCCTTTTAACAATTACTTTTTTTTTTAGTTTAAAAGCAAAGAAAGTATGGTGGTATATCTTTGTTAAATGCACATTTATCTTAATCGAAAACGCCGATAAAGGCGACAGAATAGTTTTGTTTGCCATCGTCATCGTCATCACCAGCCCTTTTACGTCCCCATGGCAGGGGCTCAGGCCTTCCTTATGGATGATCAAGGAGAATGGGCCATGACCCTCCACGCTGGCCCAATACGGATTGGAGGGTATTAACGACCGCAAATACAGCCGGGACCAATGGCTTTACGTGCCTTCCGAAGCACGGAGTAGCTCGAGATAATATTTTTTGGTCACCCATCCCGTGACCCTTTTAAGCACATCAGTAATCGCCGAATCGAAATAAAGCCGTATTATGTTAGCTGTAATTCTTTCGAGCAAGAGGTTGTTTCCGTTTCCCGTAAAAACTGGGTGGTATGAATTGTCAGTAATTTAATGTTTCTGTACTTTTTATAACGGAAAAAGTATTTAGTGAAGAATTTGTTTATTAAAAAGTTTCCTAATGATGATATGCGACTTAAATTAAATCATTTCACGAGCACTCCTCATTAGAAAAAAAACTACTTTTAACGGTTATATTGCTAGTATTATTTTTCAAAATTATTACATTTTTATATTTTCTATACAAAAAGTCTGAAAAATACATTCATAAAACCGTTTGAACGATATGTAATCCTAATTGAAAACAATGGCAACGTCAGCTCAAAACAACGATCGAATTGAGTAAATAACGGAACTTCATCCTGTCTTTGTGTGTTATTATAACATTTAATAAGTAAATTTGCTACAAGGAAGTTTTAACAAAACATTTCCGAAATGGACATTAAGGGGCTGAGGACACTGAATGATTTTTAGAAATCGACACGCCCCCTTACATAATTACAGGTGTCTACGCTAGTGTGGGTTAGCTCATTGCACGTTCCTCAGAAGAATAACAAATGCCTATCGGTTCAGCGCCAGCAGATAAACTTTGTACTAATAACAATGACGTTTTATAACCATCAAGTGCTTTGAGTTAGCTGTCTAAAGTGCTTACACAATAGGTGGCGCTGAATTTTTTTAAAAGAAAGGAATAATTTCTTTTTACTCCAGATTTTTATGGGGCTTACAAAGGACAAGTATGTTTTTTCTTTTTGGGTCGACAAAATAACATGCTATTATTTTGCCTGTTTCATATTTCAGAATTTTATTCAAATTCATTCATATTTAAAAAAATGCTTTGCATTGAATAATGAAAAGATTTAAAATTTGAAGAAATATGAAATAACTATATAAAATCACTTATGATACCACACATCACATCACATTTCTTCACTCGATTTTAAACCTTAATGTAGTGAAGGTAGAGTTAAAATAATTGCGATAATTTGATAGACTGTATTAACCTGACTTGCTGCTGTGTGTCAGGTTACTACATTCTTACGATACGGTACAGGTTACGATAATGTCGGCCAATCAGAATAAACCAAATATCACGTCATGGCACCTAATCCCCGCCGAGTTTGACTGAGACGGACTTTCATACCTTATTCTCATTACAAGAAGAGTCATTATACATTTTAATTGTACGAATTTTTGGTAGGTCGGCTTTACGTAAACGAATATTCACCATATGCAATATTAATTGGAAGTCATTGTAGTTAGTACACATATCTATATCGAACTTGCCGGAGGAGGAGAAAAAAAGCTATTTTAGAATCGTTTTTATGAGAATATAGGGTAGACGCGCCTGTTTCTACCATTGTCTAGCTGTCGAACATTTCATGGCCCATTTAAAAATAATTAATGCTTTAAGAATTGGACTCTACCTGATCTTTGGACTGGAGTTAATAAAACATATCCTGTTTTCATAACTTGAAGAAAAAGTTATTTTTTCCTCTAGCCATGATCCTTTTATGGAAGTGTATATTTTGTAATACTGACGCATCATCAAAGTATAGGACTGGTTGACCGGTTAGGATAAAACCATTAAAACACAATAATAAAAAAAAATAAATTAAAAAAATTAAAATTATACGTTCCAAATACATACGTGTTTTAATTTATTGAGGCAATCCCAGAGAGTAATTATTATACTTGTGTTGGGATGCCTCGCTCTTGGCCTAAACCAGTAACAATCTCGGAATAAATAAGTGAGTGAGAGTATTACGTGCGTACGTGCGCGTGTCTTTGTTTGTCTCTCTCTCTCTTTGTGCGTGCATGTGTGTGTGTGTGTGTGTGTGTGTGTGTGTGTGTGTGTGTGTGTGTGTGTGTGTGTGTGTGTGTGTGTGTGTGTGTGTGTGTGTGTGTGTGTGTGTGTGTGTGTGTGTGTGTGAGTATGTGTATATGTGTGTGTGTTTTATACATTTATTAATTAATTTGTGTTTAAACAGATTATTAGCCTATCGAGTCAGAAAAATCAGTAATTTAAATCCTATACTATTCTGATCAAGATCTGTTCAGTTTCTTCATAGTTAAGTGTCTTAAGCCACTCAGTTAACATTTTTTTTGCATTTAAATGTCAACATTGGATATATATTTTTTGTCTAATTTATTGTTAATACAGTTATAGATAGAAACGCTTTGACTGGGGTATTGACGTCTGGCAAATTCTGTGCGAATCGTCGGTTGATGAATTAAGATATTTTTCCTTCTTCTAGAGGTCCAAGTGGGATCGTAAGGCAGGCTTTTATGCAGTTGTAGCGTTGTATGTAATATGTACAATTGTCTGATTGATAGCAGGCTACATAACCTATAGAGGTTCACTGTTGGGAATCTAAAAGGCTTAAAGTACATTATCTTTAAGAGTGACCTTTGAGCCCTTTCAAGCTCCAGCAATTTACATTTTGTAGCTCCTCCCCATATAGGAATGCAATAAGTTATCACAGATTGAACTAAGGCAGTATAGATTTTATTTAAAAGTGCAGTAGACATAACATGCCGCAATGATTTAAATATCCATTTAAGTTTCCTAATTCGTTCATTAACCAAGTCAATATGTGAATGCCATGATAACCTTTCATCTACTGAAATTCCGAGGTACTTAGTATTAGTTACTTTCAAGATTCGTGGGCAGTTACAGTCTATTTGATTTGGGTTATTTATACATCCATGTATTTTAATATAAAAGTTTTCTGGTGGTTGCGATCTCTGGCTAGGGGTAAAGCATATATAATTTGTTTTAGCGGTATTGAGAGTTAACAGATTTACATTAAGCCAGTTAAACACTTCTACTAAACCTGATTCAGCAATGACTTTTACATCGTCCCAAGAACGCCCAGAGAATACGAGAGCAGTATCATCCGCGTAGCAGAAAACACGACCGACAGTATTTCCCAGTCTACACAAATCATTTATATAAACTAAGAAAAGTGTCGGTCCAAGAACACTGCCTTGAGGAACTCCATGCGTAACACTTTCTTCATCACTTTTGAATTTATCAATTTTGACTATTTGTTTTCTTTCACTTAGGTAATTTTTGAACAAAGAGAGTGCAGTATCTCTAATCCCAATTTCTTCAAGCCTTTCCGTTAAAATAGACACAGAAACGGTGTCAAATGCTTTTTTGAGATCCAGGAATACTGTGAGGCATTTATTCCCTTTGTCAACCTTGTCTGATATTAATGTTGTGATATCCATAACTGCATCTTGTGTTGATTTTCCCTTCCTGAAACCGTATTGAGATCTAGATAATATATCGTATTTCGTGAGATATCTAATCAGTCTTATATTTATTAACTTTTCCAAAATTTTAGAGATACTGCTGAGAACAGAGATAGGACGATAGTTATTAACGTCTTTGTTGTCACCACCCTTAAATACCGGTGTCACAACGGAACGCTTTAAAGTTTTCGGAAACAGTCCCGTATGAAAACATAAGTTTGCTAATTGTACAACAACTGGGATGATGATGTCTCTGCAGGATTTCAACAATATAATAGGAATTTCGTCCCAACCCGAAGCACATGTTGAGTAAAGGCTCATAAGTATGTCATTGACCTTCTGGGTATCAGTATCGAGTAGAACAAATGATGAAGCGTGTAAATTTGCATTTTTTGTAGTGTTACAACTTGGATTAAAATGTAGGGTATTTCTATAGATAGAGATTTGCCAAAATTAATAAAAAAACTTTTATTGTACGTTTATTGTATTAAGTGGGTTAACAGATTGGGTAAGGAGATTATTGCTAGGAGTTCTAATTGTTTTAAATTGAGTTATCTCATTTAACGTGCTCCTTAGGTTTTTGAATATTTTGCTGTTTCTACTATTTTATTTCTACTATCTTGACGTTTTAGCATAAGTAATAGGATTTGCACAATAATTACGATATTGTTTGAAGACAATTTATAACATATAATTATATAGTTCTGCCCTAAGCTTCAATTGCATGTTATTACGGAGTCTTATACAACGCAAAACCCCAACAGTCATCCAGAGTTTCAACATTCTTTTGTGACTGGATACTGTTTTTATCTTGGTATTAAAATGTAGTTCAGTCTTGATTACCCTAATTAGGGCATCTGCTAAGACATAAGGGTCCTTATAGATATTAAAACATTTAACATCTGTGCAAGCAAGTGTCTTAGAAACATCTTCATAGTCTACCACGGTCTTTAATTTAACTTCTGTTCTTTTCACGTTAGATTTGCCTAAAAGGAATAACATAACCATAGCATGATCTGTAATAGAAGTGTTAAGTACTGCAACTAAGGCCGATTTTTGGTGATTATTTATTTTCAAAATAACATGGTCAAGGCAGCTATCTTTCCTAGTCGGTAAGTAATGACCTGGAAGCAGACCATGCAACGATAAGACGTCCAGATATATTGCCCTATTATTTCGCTCATATGATGTTTCTGTAGGTTTAACTAATAGGTTAATATTTATATCTCCTAAGATAGTTATATTTTT